GGGGCGTGCTTCTCGCACCTAATATGTGAAGATCCAACTTATCTTACTTGACCGGTCAGCTGGCGCTTTCCTTCTTTCAAAAAGAACCACACCACGACTTGCTCATTTCTTCTGCGCGACAATCTACTCGCTATACAGTATACACTGCGTCCCGTTGGGTCGGGTCTGATCGGGTACACAATTGTACGCCTTGAACCTATCACTCGACGAACGTCCGTTGTGTGGGTGTTGTCTTCCTGGGTTTTGTGCTGACGCTGAATCTCCTCGAAAAGACACTCCAGTTCAAAAGCGCTTTAGGTGAAATCCACGATGCCGGAACCTGATAAACATGAGCCAATGGCACTAGGTCAACCTGGAGACTTCACGAAGCTCGGAAGCGATGTGTACATTCTGAGAGCACCGTCTTTCCCTCCTCCCGAGCACGCGCTCGATCCAACGTAAATACCACTGACTCCTCCCATCTCGTGACGCCCTGACGTCCAATAACAAGTTTAATCCTGATATTTGGATGGAGTAAAGCTCCTTTTGCACACCTGCCCGTGCGTGCGCTGACGACCTGTTATCTGCAGTGGCCGCCAAGCTTCCCCACATCCAGAAATATACACAGATCTACCGCACGATGTACCCATACGCCACGCAACTTCTTATGTGCTCACAGGCTGCGTTCTTCTTCCAGTCCAAGGATACACAGGTGGGTAGGCTCCTTTCAACACGCTGCTTGCCCACTGACTACGGTCGCATGGTTCTGCGTAGCGTCACATTTTGTCGCCTGCAGTCACTGCATTGGAAGCGTGCGGGTACATCGTTGCGAAGGACGCCGAGGACCAGGCGTCCGCATTTCAATCAACAATGCGTGGTCCCCGGATACTTATTCATACTTTCTCCAATGGTGCAGTCACTTTCTCACCCACCTCAATGTTAACCGACTGTTTCGCTATCAGGTGGCGCATACGTTCTAAGCACGTTTTCCGGGATGCTATCCAAATACCGACTTCCGACGGTTTTCCCTCCGGCCGCGATGATTCCTTCCGTACTCGTGATTGACTCCGCGCCAGGAGATACTTCGCTTCGCAAGTCATTGCACGCGTTCACTGTTCCATTGCGCAATCCGTTCACTCGCCTCATTGCGTCGGTGGTGTTGGTCATTGCCTACCTCTTTCTGGCATGTGTCGGGTTCATCACAGGAGCGGAACGTCCGGACACGTTCTTTCGGCGGATGCTTCACAAGCCCGACCTTCTCCCGTGGACCACGAGGGACACCGCCCGTCTCTATGTGTACTCGCAGGCTGACGAGCTCGTGTCATGGGAGGCCGTTCAAGCGCACGCCGCTGAAGCTAAGGGGCGAGGGTTCAGAGTACAGACGGAAATATTCAAGGACAGTCATCACGTTGCACACATGCGCGCTGATCACGACCGGTACTGGGGCACGATTCGGAGGGTGTGGGATAGTGTTTCGAGCGCGTACCCTTAGACACCGATCGGGTTCTCCTTCTACGACATCTCATCTTGGACTATGCGGATCGAATGCGGTCGATCGCAACTCATTGCCGTCCAGATATTATTCTTACACAGGGGAAGTGAAAAGAGGTATGATGGTTCTTAAGATAAAACATTCTTATGGCCCTTTAGCTCAGTGGCTAGAGCATGTGATTCCAGGAATGGCACATCCACAAGGTCGTCCGTTCAAATCGGGCAAGGGTCATCTTTTCACAAGCCAGCTTTCGTGACGACCCACGGGCCACGAGGAGCCAGGGCCCAGGACTTAGTGTTGCACAAACTATAGAGTATACTTAAATATAATCATATTAATACAGAAAAATATTGATATACTACGGCTGCTGTGTATTTTGAACCACCATAATGTAATTGAGTACAGTATGATATAGTACGAGTACACAGGCAGGCAGGTCCGTTAAGAAAATCTTCCAAATCATGATCTTAGAGATTTCTTAGCCTGTTTGTAAGAAATTACCACTTGCCTCGCTTTGGGAACTCCGTAAATCAGCCATGTCGTACGAATTTTCTAACACTGACAAGCTCGTGCCTGTTCCATCAGACTGCACAGACCTCTCTCAGATCTCTCGGCGGGCCAATCATCATCGATGCATCATCCCCCAGACAGGCCTTCTGTCAGAAACGCAGTTTATGAGACCGATAGAACCGCCTAAGTCGCGACGATGGGAGGAGCGAGAAGAAACAATAGATTCGAGAGTGCCAGGGTCTAGGGTAGTGCAACATGCGCTACAGTACCGTATGACGAGATGGACAGTCTAGGGAAAAGGGAAGAGAAACACTGTCCTTATATACAAGTGGGAACGATGCATCAGCAAATTAACACACCAAGTTCCTGTCTGTTTTGACAAGTTGTGGAGTTGGGTAACCAATAAAATAAGCAAAACACCAGAACCTCAAAACTCACCTCAAACCTGGGTCTTATTGGTGGGTTGGATAACTTGCTCCCAATTGACCGTTAATATGTCTCAACTCATTCACCAACCTGCATGTACCCACCAACCCACCATTAACTTGCATTCAATGGGGACATGAAGCCGGGTGTCCCCTACCAACTGAAGGACAACAACTCTAATGATTGCTTAACTAGGTTCCAAGTTTGCGAAACACCAGAAGTAATGAATGAAATCATATAATTTTATCCATTCAACGGGTTGTTACAGCTCGTAATGTTTGTAATAATAGTACAATATACAGATACGCCATACAGCCCACCATACATCCCTTCAAACGGCAGGTGAACTGGTCTGAACACACCCAGATCCTACGAGAGCAGTCAGTTCGTGACTGCAGCCACAAAACAACTATCCACATACCTGTCGAGCCTACTTGTCGTCCGATATCTCGACTACTTCACGTGCCTTGGCTTGGCGCGAGGCCATGACGTTGGGTCGCGTATTCATGCTACGACGAGCGCGGGTCACAGTGACATACTTGCTGACCGCCTCGAGAATCTTCTTCCATTTGTTGTCCTTCAGCTGCGTAACAGCATTGAAATAACTCATAGCTGCTTCGCCCCAGTTTTCCTCGTTCATGCGGGCCTTCTGTTGCACCTCATCCAATGAGCCAGTGTGCCACATCGCAAGGCCGCATTCGTGCTAGAAAAAGTGAGAACGATTGAGAGAATATGAATGAACGAAAGCGTACCGCAACCAGAGAGAGCACAAGGGCTTGTACCAGGCTTGAGGCGTCAAACCACGAGGTGTCTGCCAACGCGATGGCTTGGAGATGGATAGTGAGGATCTGCAATAATACCGGGTGTTCGTAGCTGCCCTTTCTCCCCTAGTTTCGAAGCAGGTCAGCACTCGCAGTGGGTGAGTAGAGCAGAAACAAACTTTGTTGTCGTATTGACGCCAGTGGAAGGTTAACGGCCGGGGGTCTTCGTCATCATCATCGGCTTCATCGTCGATGGCAATGTTTGTCGGAACGACTTGGTTGACGTAAGTGGCAATGGATGCTGGATCACCGAAGTTGTCGTTGTCGTTGAAATACTTCTTGAGCACAATGGGACATGGCATGACTTTCGCGCATTGAGTTTGAAAAACTTGTGTAAGCTTGTTTGTTCTTTCCTGCCAGCACGACATCGACACTTACTCCCCTTCCGCCCCCCCTCCAGCTCTCACGTTTCTATCCCAAATGTACAGCTATACTCGCTACACTTGCCCTGAATGCCATCGACCCGACTTTCGATCACGCACCGGACTCACCCAACATCGCAATGCATGCCACCCCACGTTCAATGATTCCGACTCATTTACATCCGATGACGACGATGGTGGCGATGGTGAGGAAGAGGTGCCAATTCCCGAGCAAAATGTCCCCGACTCGGAAGGCCCAGACAAAGACAAAGACGACTACAATTTTGACTTCAACTTTGATGGACAGGATGAAGAGCAACCCACGCCCGATGCACAAGGTCGCGTTCATCATCCAATCCTCGATGGTAAGTCGTATGCACTCTTCCCGTGTTCCTTTCGTTAACGGAAAATACAGGGACACCGTGCGATTTCCGTGGCCGTGATCTCCCTCCCGGGACACCTCCACCACCCACCGACAATCGACCTGACGATTGGACGCCTTTCGGTGACCGCATTGGCTACGAGCTGGCGGATTTCTGTTTCACGAAGGTTCAACTAGGCAAAAGTCACATCGACCAGCTATTCCAGATTATAGCTGCGTTATGTATCAAAATCAGTCGAGGCGACCAGGAGCAAGGCCCGCCGTTTGCCAGCAATGCCGCGATGGAACAGGCAATTGATGCGATCGAAGCCGGCGACGCTCCTTGGGAGTGTTTTGTTGTGCGTTATCAAGGCGAGCGGCCTGCCACAAATGTTCCGAATTGGATGGATCAAGAATTCGAGGTTTGGACTCGCAACCCCCTCATTATCGCTCATCAACACTTGGCCAATCCGGACTTCAACGGCAAGTGGGACTACTCTCCATACCGCGAGTTCGTCGGGCCCGACGGCCAGGAGAAACGGAAATATAAAGACTTCATGTCCGCGAACTGGTCTTGGAAACAATGTGTACGTCTTCTGGTACTTATGCATGATTCATTCTCACCGTGTTTTCTTCTAGGACGAAATAGCGAACGATCCAAAAACACATGGTGCCATGTTCGTTCTGATCATCTCCGGCAGCGACAAGACCACTGTGTCCGTTGCCACCGGTCAGAATGACTATTACCCGCTGTATCAGACGGCGGGTAATGTTCATAACAATGTTCGTCGTGCTCACCGCGAGGCTGTCACACTTACATCCTTTTTGTCCGTCCCGAAAGGTGTGTGATATCTGTTTTGATTCAAACATCGGGCTGATTATCTGAAGTGAGCAGGCACGATGCAGGTTCTGAGCTCTTCCGCAAGTTTCGGCGGCAGCTGTTCCACACTTCGCTCGCAACAATATTCGAGCCGCTCAAGGCCAACATGACGGTCCCCGAGGTTGTAATGTGCCCTGATGGCCATTACCGATGTGTTGTGTATGGGCTTGGTCCCTACATAGCTGATTACCTGGAGCAGGTCCTCCTCTCCTGCATCGTCCAGAACTGGTGCCCCAAGTAAGGCTCTCCATCATTCTACTATTCACCATGACTGACGCTTGAGTACACACATAGATGTACTGCACCATCGGATGATCTGGACTGCGCGCACGCACTGCCGCGATCATGAGAGTACCGTGAAAAGGCTGTCGAACTATGGACGCTCGGAGAGTTATGGGATGGATACGGAATTGTCAGGGACATTACTGTGAGTCCTCCCGACAGGTGTACGTGCTTTACAGGATCTGATTCAACTTGTTAGCCTTACACTGATGGCTTCCCTCGCGCCGATATCAACGAACTGCTTTCAATGGACCTCCTGCACCAGCTAATCAAGGGCGGCTTCAAGGATCACCTGGTAACCTGGGTTGGCGAGTACCTCGAACTTGCGCATGGTAAGGCCCGCGCGAAGGAGATCATGGACGATATTGATCATCGGTATGAAGTCTCACTTGCTCAACCAGTTTACAGACTGACCAGCACATACAGCATATCTCTCGCGCCTTCCTTCCCTGGCCTTCGTCACTTCCATCAAGGCCGAAACTTCAAACAGTGGACCGGTGACGACTCGAAGGCGCTGATGAAGGTGTGTTGAGTCGAGTCCGTTCCTTTCCGTTCCTTCTAACGTAGTTTCATTCCAGGTCTACATTAACGCAATTGAAGGCCATGTTCCGACAGACATGGTATGCGCAATATCAGCGTACCTTGACTTTGTCTATATAGCTCGGCGTTCAGAGCTCACTGAAACTGACCTCGACGACCTCGACGAGGCCCTGGCCAGGTTCCATGAATATCGGGACGTGTTTCAACACTACGGCGTCCGCGCTCCAGGGCCCAAAGGCTTCTCCCTCCCCCGACAACACTCCATGAAGCACTATCGCGAGCTCATCGAGTGGTTCAGCGCACCAAACGGCCTATGCACCTCAATCACGGAGGCCAAGCATATCAAAGCCGTGAAAGAACCATGGCGTCAGTCCAATAAATATCAAGCCCTCGGACAGATGCTTATAATCAATCAGAGGATCAGTAAAATGGCCACCCTGCGCGTCGACTTTCAGAAGCGGGGCATGTTGAAGGACTCGCTACTTGACTGGGTATTCAAGTTGCTTGAGGAGATGCTCGCGGCGGCGGAGAAGCACTGGCAGGAGGTTAACGGCTCCGTCGATGGCTCCATCGACGGCGGAATCAATGCAGGGGCTGATGTCGGGGTCGGCGGTGCAGTTGATGAAGATGGTGATGCTTTGGCTCCCAACTCGGAAGAAGTCGAGGGGGGGCCCGTGGATGTACGCGGCCTCACAAACCGTGTGGTCATGGCAAGATCACCTCGTACGAGTTCCTTTTCTACTTCATAATGTTCTTGCTCACACTCCATTAGAACATGGTTATCCCAAGCATATGGATGAACTCGGCGAGTCCGTTGGTATACCGAACCTTCGGCTGCTCGCGTTCGAGTTCCTGCTTGGCCAGTTCACCGACGACACAGATCCTAACTCCGCAACAGCGCAACATATTCGCGGGCGATTCAAGGATCGTGTGAATGTGTTCCACTCTGCAGCGGCGCTGTTTTATGCCCCACATCAGGAAAACTCCCAGTACTTGAGACACACTTAGAACTTGGGCCAGTCACTTAGACTTGAAGAGCAGCCTTAGGT